GAACAGGTAATTTTGTTTATATAAGGGAAACAAAACATAGGACTGATCTAAAGCTGGTATAAATCAAGGACAGTTCAATAGAAGTCAAGTGGCTTACAATACAAATGCTGTAAAATACATAGTATTATAATCTGGCCCATAATATTTTTCATTGATAGTTTAGCACTTTGGCCCTTTGGAGGAGGTCAGGAAAAGGATCACTCCATTTTTATTGTATTTCCTTTTTGTCCTTAAATGGACTATAATATTTTCTTCCCTTTATTAGAATGTAGAACTTATATATATATATACAAATATATATATACATTTTAAATTTTGRTTTCTTTCATCTTGTAGTTTTCTTAAATATTTTGTATTCTTAAAAGTTTCTGGCTCAAAAGCAAATGAAAGGGGAGAAAAAGAAGGGGTAGAAGGGAAGTGACTTTCCTTTCCATGCCTTCCTTCTCCCTAAGAAAAAAATGTTAAGAATGGCTATAATGAATCTATTTGAAAAAAAATAGAAAAWCARTTAAAATATTAATACTTAATGAAAGATTTCAACACTTTTTATGCATTTTACTTATTGGTTTTGAGAAAATAAGCAGTTATTTGGAAAAATTCCTTGAAAAAGTTTAAGGCTGCAAAATTGATAATCAAGTGTAATTAAAAGAAACCCTTTTAGAAAGACCTTTCTAAAGAAGAAATATATTTGTGAAACACTTAAGCCTTCAACATGAAACAGATATGAATACCTGAGTTAGAAGTAAGTGTGAGCTTTACTCTCTTGCTTTTCTCCTCTTTCCTGGTGCAAGTGAGACAAAAGGATGACCACTTTCCCCTGTACCAAGCAAGCTGATTTAGCCCCAAAGAGATAGTAGCGCATATGTCTGTACTGAAATGCATTTTAATTCTCAAATGAGGATCTAGTACCTCATCTGGCATGGGATTCAGTCTGTGTTCCTGTATCGGGTGGTTGGTCATAAAGTGAGCAGGAAAATCTAGTTTTGAGGYTCGTTTGGGGTTTTTGAAGCCTGCCAGAGGAGTGAGTGTTGGGAACATCCAGATGACCTACCTGCAGGGCCAGGGCGAGTGCACTTCCCATCAAGTGCTCCCTCGTCATCTCCTGGCACCCGCAGGCTCCTCAGGAAGGCCTGGAAATGACAGCTGCTCTGGCTGCTGATCACAGAAAGGTTTGTGGTCACGTACACCACGGTCACCGGCAGGTTTGATCTCATTAATACACTACTTTACAACAGATTTGCAGTGATCCTCCTCTGTGTTTCACGGCATTTGCCACTGACTGTGGTTTTCAGGGAAATACTTCTTCTGCTATTCTGCACAGTTGGTTGCAAAACGTGGTTTTGGGCAAAAGATTTCATTGCTCGAAGTTGTTTGTCTGACCACAGACAAAGTACGTGAGCCTCAGTCGTTCCGAACTGGGGGCACGGACTCAGTGGTTACTTTTTAACTTCTCTCTGCTTGATCCTCAGTAGTATATCAGCCTCTAAGTGAAATACTGAGTAGACCTTATCTGTGGTCTGCAGACAAATTTTTGTACGCAAGAGTTTTTGTAGCAGCACAAGATATTGCAGTTACCTTCACACTGTGGTTGGAAAATAAAAGATCTTCCCCCTTGGTCACCCCACCACCAGAGCAGGATTTCAATGTCCAGTGAAACCGTATCCATCAGGGATGGCCAAGCCAAACCTGCCTTTGTTTCCTCAGAAATACTGCAAACTACCTGTGGTCTATGCAAGCTTRTTGTCTAAAAGGTCTGGCCTTTGGTGTGGAAACTCAGCCTCATCCTCAGCAAATTTGAGATTAATATCTCGAAATTCAGTTGAAACTAGCTGCCCCATCAATTTTGTACTTAGCTTAATGCAGGCAGATTATAAGAATGAGTTTGGACATCTGTCCTTAAATGTCTGAAAATTTATTAGTACTAATTTCTTTTTTTTTTTTCAGATTTATAGAGAAGATGTATTTACAGGGACCATGTTGTTTACATGAAGGAATTAGGATTTTTTAAAAWTATTTTAAACATAGTTGACTTACAGCCCAATCCTTTTAGAAGTAGTATGTGCCTTTTCTTTAACACCACATATCCATTTATTTCAAGTAGAGCCTGCATGATACTTGCATGAGATCATCATGTTGTATGCTTTTTATTGTCATGGATTCTCCCTGTGTGTCTCATCTGCTTATTCTGTCCTCTTTATGATCCTCCCTTATTCAGATGGAGTCCAGTGGAGGCATCACTACATGATCTATTTCTGTTGCTTTCTCTTTTTTTTTTCTCTCCTTTTTCTTAAGTGCAGTTCTATAAATTTTAGTTGTTTGCTTTTTTGAGATTGTCTTAGGCAAAGGAATACTAACACAATATATGGTCTTAGATTCCTCAGTGAAGCAAGCAGAAGATGAGTGGAAGCATTTGTTGAGTGCACACGAGAGGATGGCATGCAAGAAAGTYGTAATTTGGGAGGTTTGGTACTACTGCCACCAAAGTTAATGAAACAAGTCAGTAAATAGCTTTCCAAGCAATGAGCTTTCTCCTGTGGTCCTTACAGGAGCATTAGCTCTTCCTCCCCCCCCACCCCCCCATTAACTGACAGGAGCATTTGCATTACCTTTTGGGGGTTGGTAAGAGTGAAATACTAGGTGGGATTAGGTGTGTGAGTGAATCCATAACAAGCAAGGAAGAGACCTGGTTTCTATCACTTTCTTGTGAAATTACAAACCACTTTCTGATCYCTTGCAGGAGTCTTCAGAAATTATCAGAATCAAAGACAGAACAGTAATTCTAATTTACTCAAGGCAACATAAAGATGGAGAAAGCAAATGCTGTGAAGAAAGCACATGGTAGTATTTTAATTAAGTTTATCTTTTCTTGCTTTCTGCAAARCTGAGTAAAAAATTTTAATTCAGAATTTTTTGAATTTTAATTAAGAAATTTTAATTCTGCACCTAATTTTCTGAATTCAAGTACAAATAAAATTGTTTGCATCTTTAAAACCATACGTGAGCTGCTCTCAAGCTGGAGTGAGAGTAAATGTCATGCTAGWACAGTTCAGAATCTTGAAGTATGAGTTGTCTTTTTATTCTGCTACTGAATAAATAAACAGCCTTCTAAGAAAATAATTTATTAGAAAAGAAAGATGCTAAAAGAAATTCTCCCTTGTGAAATGGGGTTAAGTCTCTACAAAGAAACCTCAAGCTGTACACAAAGATTAAGTTAATCTACTCTTCATAAAATCYTCTTGTTTGCTTCTTCTGAACACTGAAACAGGGCTTGCTGTTAGCAAGTGTTGCGAGAGACAAGATTTTAAAAAAAATCTCCCCAAAGCAGCGTGGCCCCCGGCGTATCCCTGCACAGAGCTCCTGTCCTTCGCAGCAGTGCTGGGAGCACCGGTGGCCACCCRCACCCCAAAAGTGGGCTCTTCACCTACCCTGCCTTAGCAGCCTCCTCTCTCTGCTAATTGAAAAATAAGAGAAGAAATGATTTTTTTAATTAGGCTTTTTTTTTTTTAACTTCTGCCATTTGCAGAGATATGAACTAAAGCTGCAGGAGGAGCAGTGCATCAGAAGAGTGTGAAAACCAGGGAATTCCCATTGCTGTTCCCAGGTATGTGCTTGCTCATGCATATAAATGTATGTGTTAGCAACACAGCTGCCCCCTCCCTCGTTTTTGTCCCCACTTCTCTGTCATTTCCCTGGGGAAAGCGAAAGGCTGTCACTCCTTCCCTGCACCAGTAGGCACTTGCACAGGTATCAGGAGAAAGCCAAGAGAGGGCTGTACTCAACCCCATGAGTTCTGCACCCCATAGCAGCTTTGAGATGTCCTGTATTTAGGGTTACTGAGCAGCACCTTTAGAGGCTGGACRTATTTAAGCATTGGAGTTTATGGGTTCAGGTATAAGATGTTGTGGGAGTTGTGCACCATCCTCGCACTTTGCYGTGTTACAGGCCTGGCATATTCTGAATCTCCCAGTGCTTATGGAAGCTGTTATGATTTGCTGGGAGCTTTACTGGGCCAGGGGAGCCTGTGCAGCAATGGGACACGAGCCCCTTGGGCAAGCTGTGACCGCCTCCAGACAGGACAGCCCAGCGAGCTCCACATGCGCCCAGCAGCACCACCCTCTGCGCAGCAAGCGAGAGGGACCCTGGCATGGTGGGCGCACCACAGAGGGATGGAGAAGGTGAGCACYGTTTGCAGTGGGTCCATGTGGGAGGCTATAAAGCACCAGGGGCAGTGGAACCTGGAGCAGCCAGAACCTGACGTGTGCCTGTCTGTCGCGTGGAGGGCACGCGAGCAGGAAGCCAGTTGGGGTCTGTCCACTGCCTGATGAGCCGGAGCGCGTGCCCAGCCTCGGGGCTTGCGCTGCCTCGCCGCTGCTGCCGGATGCCCCTCGCCCAGCGCCAGCCAGCCCGGAGGAGGAGGGGACGGGGCGCTCTCACTGGCTGCAGAGGCTGAGGCAAAAGAGAGAAAAAGGAGGAGGGGAATAAAAAGTAAAGGGTGGGGGGAGAGAGAGAGAGAGGGAGCGAAAGAAAACTAAGCCCAGCTTTTGCCGGTGCTCCTTGGATTGGATCTGGTTTGAGTTTCCTCTCTGCTGGCTTGYGCAGTGTTTGAGGAGTAGGGGGAAGTAACGAGCTCGTTCTTCATCTGAAGCTTAAGCGAGCGTGCTGGGTGACGGAGCTGGTGGGGAGCTGCCCCGGGAGCAGTTGCCTCCTAGCTTGTTGCTCTCACTAAAGCATTTCCTGGACTTCTCAAGAACCCAGAGGAAAAAGCCATCACTGCACAGACCCGATAGTTGCTCAGTGCAGGCTTGACATCTTTTTTTTTCCTGGGGCATTTTTTTTCCTTCAGTCTCTCTGAGCAGCAGTTCCCTGAGTGTGCGGCATTGAAAACCATTGCTTTATTAACAGCTCTGGGAGATACTTTTTTTTTTTTTAATTTTTTTGTACTCTTTTGTTTTCTTTGCCTTAAAAAAGAAAAAACTATAATCCTTTTGGGGGGAGGGGAGATGATCCTGCTGATGTGGAATAAGTGCTCCTGCTGTCTCCTCTTACTAGCCGCGGTCCTGATCGTGGAGAGCTCCCAGCTAGACAGCTCCAGCTCCAAGGTGAACTCCATCAAGTCCACCCTGATGGGGGAGGCTCCAACTCAGGCAACCAACAGATCTGCAGGCATCCACCAGGGACTAACGCTTGCTAGCAGTAAGAAGGGCAAAATGCTAGAGCAGATGGGAAAGCCTCCAAAGCACTATCACCGGCAAGGAGAGGTAGGACATCGCCAAACTGCATGAGTGTCTGTCCCTCTCTCGGTATGAGCGTTGATTGTTGGTCCCCTTCTGTTCTGTTCTCTTTCAAAGATTTCCGTATTAAATGAATTGACTTCATTAGGGTTGTCTGGAACAGTATCATGTTAAAATAGAAATTGAGGTGGGTGTGTGGAAGAAAGAAGGTTTTAAACCTTGTGTTTTTCCCTTTAGAATTGATAATTGGTAAAAGAAATAGGAATTAGAGAGCTTTTGCAGCTCTCCTTGGAATCCTTCAAAAGATTACTGGTAATAAATTGCATGTTAACTCTTCAGATAGTAAGTTGAATTTGAATAGGCAAAGGAAATTTGAGTCTAGAATGGAAACTGTGTTTCCAGTGGTGAAATGAGTTTGCTTTTAGAAATCATACTTAGAAAGCTGATCTATGCTATCTTCCTCTCTGAAAGGGTAATGGGGAGAGTGAAAAGGCATGCTGTCCTGGTAGTATAGTTCRGGGCATTTTTATCTGCTAAATATGACAGAAAATAAATTCCAGGTTTCTTACCTGGTRTATGCACTTGCAGTTGTGGAAGTTTTGCTTGGTCATGTCCACTTGCGATAAGCAGAGAAGCAGTCTTCAATATGTGGGAAGAAAGTTGAAGTGGAAGTAAAAAAGATAAGGTTATAGAAATTGTATGGAAAAAGGMCCCTAACTTACTTGTGAATTATGTYGCTTTCTTTCCCTTATACTCTGCCTGGATTCTTGGGGGTCTGCAGAAAATGAGCTCCTTTAAATGCCTTTGTAAAAAACTATAAACCAGTATTTTAAGGCATCAGTCTTTTACTTCCCTCTCAAATCTCAGCTTGGATGGTGTGAATGCTATGTGCTTTGGTGCTGAAAGAGCTATATTCTGACTTCTTCAGATAATATAGATTCTATACTACGGAGCATTATTAGTACTTCCAAATACAGCTGCTTTTCGTAAACAACAGACACTGTAGCAGCAAGGGAACTGCCAACATTCAGCACTAAACTGTCCCCCTCAAAAAAAAATCCAAAACAAACAAAACCCCAAAAACTGCCTGCCCGAAGGCATCGCCTAGACTTTCCTTAAAGCAGCAAAGAAGCTGCAAATTCAAGCAATGCGCTGAACTCACTTAAGTGTTTCACATTAGCTTTATGGTAACTGGATATTATCATCTGGGGTTGTGTGCAGGCATAATAACCATGGTGCTACTTTGGGATTTTGCACGTGAGAAATTTGGTTTTAAACTCCAAGCTTTCTTTCCCTAGCCACTCAGTTCTTYTATAATTCATCCAAAATTTGGTCACCTCTCCTTACCTCTGAGCGAAGTTTAGTAACAGATGCTGTCGCAAAGTTTCATGCTTCTAAAGTACTGTGCTCCTTCCTAGTGCGTGTTGTAGTAATTACTACACCTTGAGGAAATACAGGGGCATAGAACATGTTTGCGTGTATTCTCCTTAGCTTGTCTTCTGCTTTCTGTAAACTTGCAAAGAGCGGAGCGCGGCACTGTCTTTTCCTGTGTGTTATCTCAGTCTCCTGACTCGTGCAGGTGCGTGTGGGTTCAGGCGCTGCCCAGCCCCAGGCCTGCTGCTCAGTATTTGTCCTGTGTGAGCTGTTCCCGCACCCTATGTATATTGCGTGGGTGCAGACCATGCTGAGATCGTTCTGTCGCGATGCGCCTGATTTCTTGGCCCTTGCAGTGCCTGTGGGATTTGCCACTTTCCTCTCAGCCCGGGCTGTGTGCAGCGCCTGCAGAGGTGCTCTGCAAGCGCAGGCGCGTGCATGGTGGCAGGRCTGTCACAGGCTTTGCAGCACCCCACTTGTAGTGCGGCTTGTAGCACAAGCTTGTGCACAGTTTCTTCCCACAGGTTCTTTTTGCTCTCCTTCCTCATGCAAACCTCCCCACTCCCATGGGAGAACCAGGGCACCGTGGAGTGGTCCTCACCTCCTGCTATGGCTGTGACTCCATCCTCCTTGTCGCTCAGCCTTGTGCAGATACAGCCTGTGAGGATGTATCCTGGGTGCAGCTTGGGGCGTCCATTTGAGGCAAGGCTGTTAGTTTTTTTTCCCTTTTACTACAGTTCTGCACTCAAAATTACTTCTTGGATGCTGCTGTATCGCTGGTGCAGCTCTAGCTGAAGGATTGGTAAGCCGCTCCATTTCTYAACAGTGGGGGTCACACCTCAAATAGCCAAGACTGACATTTTAACATTTTTTTTATGACTGTACTCTTATTAGATTAGTACTTGCTTGTTTAGGCAATAGGACACTGTGCTGAAGTCTTGCATGTTATTTGTGCTAAGAACAGAGCTACCTGCAGTGCTTTTACCAAAACAACCTTCTGCCTTAGTGCRATCTGAAAAATGGGAATACCTTTTATTTATTTATTTCATAATATTAAATACTAAGCTCAGTGTCCTATTTACAGATAGGAAATATTTTCATTAAGGTCTAAGGTATAGAAAGATAAGTGGAAATTAGAGGAATTTCCCCAAAAGTATAGAAAGGGCCATGACCTGACAGCTTGCTTGCTTACTGTGACTGGTAGACTAACACGCTTTCAGAATGGTTCCTAAATACATAAATTTAGTATTTTCAATTTCTAAGACTGGGAGCAGCCTGGAAACCTTTAATCAGCAGTAAATCACTAGAAACAGCGGTTGGTGGCTTATCTGGTGTGTTGATACATTTCAGCTGGTAGTTACGGCTCTTCTGCACAGAAACAGAAGATCCAGCGCTCCCTTCTCAGGCAGCTTTTCAGCTCAAAATAAAAACAAACAAATTTAAAAAAAAAAAAAAAAAAAAAAAAAAAAAAAAACAAAGCGAGCTGATCTGGCTTGCTGGAGGGACAGCCAGACAGCCAGGATAAATGTGAATTTGAGTAAGACTTACATTTTTATGTCTTTCTGAGGAATATTATTTATTTCTGTTCTTATTCCCTTTATTGCCTTGGATCAGCAGAGAATGAGCAGTCCTGATGTGCTAAATCGGGGAGATTGTAGCTGTGCTTTCGCCGTCACTCCCATTTTCCACCCTTTGTGAACTGTTAATATCTTGCTCTGCATCCCAAAGTTCCTACAGTGTTTCACAGCGGGGAGAAAAGTGTAGATGAATGGAGAGATGAGTTCCCCCTTCATCTTTAAGGGGCTGATTCTTCTTACATCGGCAACCAAAAGAAAACAGGAGGATCAGGCTTAGCTAACATTTGTAGCCCAATGCTCTCGGTGAAGTCGTACATCCTTTGAGGTGAAAACTGCTCAAAAATAAGACTATATGGTACATGCTCGACCATTGGTTAGTTCTATAGGCCTGCTGCCACCACTTTCCCGTAAAGTCTTGCTTTGGAGGAAGGGCCTTCAAGCAGCAGCTAATACCTCAGCTTCTTGAGGATCTTGCTACGGGTTTATTAGCTCTCCAGATAAACAGCATGAATAGAGTCATTTAAAAAAAAAAAAAAAAAAAAAAAAAAAAGCCAGATAAGCAGCGATGGTGAATTTTCTGTGTCAGCTACTGCTAGCACCATGTGGGGACAAGCTCTGCTTGGAGACTCAATGGGGAAGGGGAAATCCCTCATATTGTAGCTGTGATCAGAAATCTTAGCCCTTCCACTGATTCCTGTTGGCTTGCAGCACTTCTGACCACTTCACCACCTTTCTCATTTTCTTGCCTCTGAATTTTCATCCCCTCTCCCCTTCCTCAGTGCCAGGGTCAGCTCTCTCTTAATTGCCTTTAATGATCTGGTGGGTTGAGACATGTCAAAATATATATCCTTTCCCTAGTCCTGGCTAGACATCTTTCTCCTGGCTCTTTTCCCTTTGAGTCCTGTTCCTCTTTCTTTTTGCTACTGAGTAGCTGGTTAATCTGTGCTTTCCACTGGGACCATCCCTTCCACTTCCCCCCAGGCACCATGGGGAGGTAGCAGGGAGGAAGAAAAAAAGTGGGATGACCAGAAGAGAGGGAATTGGCATGACAGTGCCTGGATSGGGGAGAGAATCTGGGAGAAATTACAACACTGTAAAGTCACGGCAGGCAGGTATCAGCTAAGCTTTGGTGTTTCAAATGTATTTGTTTTATTTTTTAAAGGAGCCTTTTAAAATTCTGTTCCTTCTTCAGCTAGAAGGCTGAAGCCCATAGAAACCAAACTGAAAAAGCATTAATCCGAAGGGCTGGGCTGGTGCGGGTCAGCCGGGCAGCGCCACTGKGCACACGTTCCTTAGGCAGGATGTAGCTCTCCGCAAGGACTTGGGGAAAATGTGCTTGGGCGATGTTCCGTAGCAAGTAAAACAGCATGGTGTGGAGTAATTGACTGCAGTGCCCTGACAAGGGTACAATAATATGCACCAAAGACCCCAAAAATGTAACCACAGTATCTCCAATAGCTAGCAACCAAGACAGTATAAATTATTTCTCTATGGGATTAAAAGTAATTTAATTAAAATACCTCAAAAATATATCTAGCACCAGCATTTAAGTAAATAAAGGATGAAGCAGAACTGCCGAACTGGCAGAGGTCACTGGAGAAATGTGTTCCTTGCTCTTGTTGTTTGCTATGAGGAATGTGGGAGACACGCTGGTTTACTGGCAGCAGTCTTGCTAAATAGCTGAGTGGCCTCTCTCATGGTTGCAAAAATGRGATGCTGAGTATCATCGTCTTGCTTGGGGTGCCCTCTAATTGCAGCTATTGTTTGACTCCTTAATGCAGAGCAAGAGCTCCCATGAAATTACCAAGATTATTTCCTATTAATGTTGTTGCAAGAATGCCTAGAAAACTTGCAGGCTCTGATGTGCTGCTCGGGGAGAGCTAGTTTCTGCCTGGGAAGTCTGACAGCGGCGTCAAAAGCGAACACAAAGGATGGTGAAGCATGTTCCTGTCTTGCCCTCAGAAAAGGGCTCTGATTAACTCATTATGTGTGAGTAGCTGATGCTTTGCAGATGCACAGTATAGCACAGGTTTAATTTTGATTTTAATTATCTTGGCTCCAGATATATCTTGTAAG